AACCTGAGATTGAAAGACTTTCTACTATAAAGATTTCGACAAGGATTTATAGAAAACACTTCTCAAATGTAAAATACCTCTTTAACTAAACCAATCTAATATAGCAAATACAACCTACAGAAGACAACCCTCTTAACTGCAACAACTCTTTGAGACTTTTCTCAAAGTACCAAGAACTTCATGTTCTTCTTCCTAGCCAGCGCACAGGGAAACAACAATCCTCTTGATTGTAAAAATGAAATCTGATCAGAATAGAAAACACTTGAGTTATGCAGAATTTGATCAGTCAATGAGCGCTTCAACTTGTTCTTCAAGAATCCTTCAAGAGTATCACTTTCTTTGAATCTTGATTCTTGGAGCGATTCTGTGCACCTATAAAATTTCTCTAAAACTCTTTGATATCAGATATAAAAGTTCTCAAATGTTCAAAGTGTTAAAAGTTCTTAATACAAAGCACAATGCGTCATTATATAGTTTTTCTCATATTAGACGCATTTTAATCGATTACATAAGTAATGTAATCGGTTACACTATGTATAGTTGTAATAGAATTACAATTAAAATATTTCTAATTTTACGCATTTAATGTAATCGATTGCTAATAAATGCTAGTCAAAATATTTTAAAATATGGCCGTTATCACTGTTATAAACAATTTTCAATGAATAACAGACTTAATTGATTACATTAACAATGTAATCGATTAAGGTATACACTTAAAAAAATTTTGAAAACTTTTTCACATCAAAACTAATCAAAACACATTTCAAAAAGATGTTTGCAAAGACACGAGTTTTAATTGATTATGCACTTAATGAAATCGGTTAAAACTTGTTGATTTGCCACAGTTTTAAACATAAGTTATCTGATGAACTTAATTGATTACAACATCACTGTAATCGATTATTTCATACAGAGTTACTTTGTGCTTGTGGTTTTATCACTTAAAAACATGAGTATGCATATAGTAGATATAAACACAATTATGATCACAGAAGTATGTAGACCAATCAACATATCATCATATGTATTAATCATAAAGAAACATTTACACAACAACATATGTATCAATTCATAAAGAAACATTTTTGTGTTGTCATGAAAACATATATGTGTTGTCATCATCAATGAGTTGTCATCATCAAAAACCAAACACATCAGGGATAGGTTTAGNCGTATAATGTTACGCGTTCAACGTCCAACCATTGAAAAACCAACGTTAAAAATGACCGGTGGCATTTTTGTAAATAAATACAATTATTAGACGTCGTTTAGAACTGTAATTCGACGTCAAATTGTTATAAGACATCGAATATTGAGATGTTTGACGTCCTATTGGATAAATTTTACAAAAATGTTTGGCCCGAAGGTGAAAATATACTTACATATGGCGTCGGGTGCCCTAGCGTTAGACGTCAAAATGTTATAAAATGTTGAATGCCCTAGGGTTAGACGTCAAAATGTTAGTGAATTCAACAAAAATTTGAGAGGAAGATTGAATATTCATTCACTATATCTTAGCGCGCGCGAGACCCTTTTTTCTACTCAAACATTTCTCGAATAAAGTTTGACGGTCATCACATGTAATTTTTCCTTAATTTGATACAAACGCAGGTTAATTAACTACTTTATGTATGATTTTCGTTTATTTTGACTGATTATTTTCATGTTCTAGTCCTTTATAGGCGCATTCTGCTTTCTCTCTCACAGGTGACAACACTTTATTCTAACGAACCCACCTTTTGAAGGTTAGTTTTCATTTTCGTTTTCGTTTTGAAGAACTTATTTGTTAAACTTGTTTCTTGTTGTTGTTTGATTGAACTTGTTTATTGTGGTTGTTTGGTTGAACTTGTTTGTTGTTATTTGGTTGAACTTGTTTATTGTTGATACTACACTGCACGTTCATAGTACTTTATAAAATACCAAAAATTGAAATTTGTTGTTTTTCTGTTTTTTAGGTCTTCGTAGAGTTGTAAAAAAGTATCACAAAGGATCACAATTAATTAAAAAAATAAAAAAAAATGATTAACGTCGTATATTAACAAAATTCAACGTTAATTAAGGTAACGTCAAATTTTTTAAATTCAACGTCAATTTAACATCTCCTGATAGATGTCGACCTTAATTTCGACATGAAAGGCCAAAAAACACCGACATTATACGGTGTTTTTATACTAGAATATGTTTGGTGTAACTAAGAATATAAGGGAGGGATTTCTAACTAATAAAAACTCTTTCTTTTTAAATCTTTCTGCAAAATTAAGATGATCTTTAAATTTGCACAACACAATTATGAATAATAAAGAAATAGAGATATAGAGAAAGAAAACAAACACAATCTTTTTATCCTGGTTTGGCCTCAATGCCTACATCCCGTCTCTTTCAACCAACCTGAGATTGAAAGACTTTCTACTATAAAGATTTCAACAAGGATTTATAGAGAACACTTCTCAAATGTAAAATACCTCTTTAACTAAACCAATCTAATATAGCAAATACAACCTACAGAAGAACAACCCTCTTAACTGCAACAACTCTTTGAGACTTTTCTCAAAGTACCAAGAACCTCACGTTCTTCTTCCTAGCCAGCGCACAGGGAAACAACAATCCTCTTGATTGTAAAAATGAAATCTGATCAGAATAGAAAACACTTGAGTTGTGCAGAATTTGATCAGTCAGTGAGCGCTTCAACTTGTTCTTCAAGAATCCTTCAAGAGTATCACTTTCTTTGAATCTTGATTCTTGGAGCGATTCTGTGCACCTATAAAATTTCTCTAAAACTCTTTGATATCAGATATGAAAGTTCTCAAATGTTAAAAGTGTTAAAAGTTGTTAATACAAAGCACAATGCGTCATTTTATAGTTTTTCTCATATTAAACACATTTTAATCGATTACATAAGTAATGTAATCGGTTACACTATGTATAGTTGTAATAGAATTACAATTAAAACATTTCTAATTTTACGCATTTAATGTAATCGATTGCTAATAAATGCTAGTCAAAATATTTTAAAATATGACCGTTATCACTGTTATGACTTAGCTTGAAAATAGTTTTCAATGAATAACATACTTAATTGATTACATTAACAATGTAATCGATTAAGGTATACACACAACACATTTCAAAAAGATGTTTGCAACACACGAGTTTTAATTGATTATACACTTAATGTAATCGGTTAAAACTTGTTGTTTTGCCACAGTTTTAAACATAAGTTATCTGATGAACTTAATTGATTACAGCATCACTGTAATCGATATTTCATACAGAGTTACTTTGTGCTTGTGGTTTTATCACTTAAAAACATGAGTATGCATATAGTAGATATAAACACAATTATGATCATAGAAGTATGTAGACCAATCAACATATCATCATATGTATTAATCATAAAGAAACATTTACACAACAACATATGTATCAATTCATAAAGAAATATTTTTGTGTTGTCATGAAAACATATATGTGTTGTCATCATCAATGAGTTGTCATCATCAAAAACCAAACACATCAGGGATAGGTTTAGCACTTATATTGCTCTCCCTATCAACATGACCATTGCATAAGTCTCCTCCCAAGCATCTCAGACAAGTAGTAGATTGGTAAGAACCACAATGTTTGGACTTTCTTTGTTATATAAGTATATCCTAAAGCTAATTAGTTTATAGTTCAATTGTAGCACATATGATGTTGTTAGGGAAATCAACTACAACAGTTGAAAAGCTTGCATGGTTGCCCTCAAGGTTTAGTATTTTAGTCCATACTTTCTTATAATTGTTTTATTCTAATGATCTTCATTAACTATTTATAATTATAATGATATATTGTAGTACAATAGACAAACCGGTTCATATAAGCACGATTATTAATGTATTGGATGACGACCACTATTCGTGCCAATATTACAAGTGGCTGGGAAACGGTAATATTTGGACTTAATAAAAAAATTCTCCATGATTTGGAAATTCATATACACTAATTGAAATCATGTGTCTCATGTAGAGATTCAAGACTCCTCTTCTAATTCTCGAGAAGTCCATTCTTTACATATGGAAAGCACTTATAAAACATGTAATACAATTACACAATAATGCGAAGTTATTAGGATATAATAAGTTGTATATTAACATATTATAATTGAGTTGATTTATGGTTATAATTATGTATTTCATTGAAATTAATATTCTAGACTATATTTGTGTGCTGTGAATACTTTGATTTTATATGCAGGTCAGTTTCTATGATAAGGAATATTACAGAAACAAAACCATTATTAAAGAAACGCAGACTTTAGACAGCGGTTGTGATCAAAACCGAAGCAGAAAAGGGTCTATGGCCTCGGTTATGACCCAACCTACTACCATAGAGTATTCCACATTTTAAATAACTATTTAATTTTAAGGACCTATAACAGCAGTTCTTATCGCTGCCATAGACCTTTAAAATTAAATATTTATTTAAATATGACACACTTTATGGCAACGATTATCTATATAACCACTGCCAAAAAGTCAGATTTTTTTTTTGTTTACTGTTTTGGCCATTGGTGAAGTGAGGCCGAAATCCACCCTTTTTATATCTCGGTTTCTAATCAAGGCCAAAAATTCGCCTTTTTTACCACGATTTGAAAATTACTGTCAATTGTAAAAAATAGTCGTTGTCGTTTTCTTTTGCTGTTGTTTTACTACATTTTTAAAATATTTGACTTGACTTTGAATATATATTTTAATAAATTATATATATATATATATATATAATTAAAAATAACATATATTTATTAAAAGTTAATGAAGATATGTAATAAACGCTAATAAATACCATATAATAAATAATAAATACTAAATATTAAGTGTTATGCATTAATAACTATATAATAAGTAACATATAGTAATTATATGTTAAATATTTTGTTCAAATTTATTAAAAAAGATTTAAAATTATAAATGAAAAGAAACCANGGACCCATATTTGGATTGGGTAAGGATGAATGTCCGATGGGAACTGTTCCTATATTGAGAACAATAGAAGATGATCTTATGAGAGAAAAATCATTACTCAACGATCATATATTAGTTCAAGATATTCCTGGTGTTCATGTAAGCTCTTTTTATCAAAGTAGTTTAAAATATTTGTACTTTATTTTTTTAAATTGTATTCCATCTATTTTTTTTTCAATTTGGCTATTTATTTAAATATATTGAATTTTTCAGATTGCCGAAGTTGCCCTTAAACCAAATTATGGTCCTTATTACGGAGTCGAAGGTATAAATAGTCTTTTTAATCCACGAGTTGATAACAAGTTTCAAATCTCTATGTCTCATATATGGGTTCAAAATGGCCCCAAAGAATCCACTAACAAGATCTCATTGGGATGGCATGTGAGTTAAAATTTTCACAATTAGCATTTTTTATGTATGTGTGTATGCATGTGTTTGTTAGTGTGGGGGCGTGTATGGGTGTGGGTGTATGTGCGCATCAGTGTAGGTGTGTGTTTGTGTGTGACCTTGTGTGTATGTATGTACATGCGTGCGCACGTGTGTTTTTGTGTATCTGTGTGCTTGTGTTTTTGTGTGGATAAAGATGTGTGTGTATGTGTATGTTCTAACATACTATGTGCATGTGTAATGCATACATGTGCGTGAGCATGTGTATATGTGTATGTCCATGTGAGTGACTTAATTGCTATTAATTTGAAAAAGAAAAAAATATTATAAGTAATACAATACATTGTCATCAGGTGATTCCAAACTTGTATGGTGATTATGCAAGCCATGTTTATATGTCATGGACGGTAAGAAGTTATCATTTCATTTTTTTTTATACTTAGTTTATAGAAATATAATATATATTTACTCCTATAATAAGTCTTTCTTACTTAACTAAGGATATTTTTTTCTCTTTTTGATTTCGTATTTAAGGATATAATTAAATCCTTACCATAGATCTAAATAAATTTGAATTAATTAATATATCATATTAATATTATTATTCAAAATTTGATATGTTGTTAAACTTTTACAGTCAGACAACTACAAGAAGACCGGATGTTATAATATTCGATGCGCAGGTTTTATTCAAACTAATAGAAAAGTTTACCTTGGTGAAACAATATCTACCATCTCTCATTACGGAGGACCAATTTACACAACTGCTTGGTCGATTTCTCAGGTCATAATCTTGTATATATCTTTCACTGTAATAAATAGATAGAACTAGATTTAATACATGTCGGATTAATATACTTTGATTTCTTGAATACACTTTTTTAACTGAATTCATATAGTGAAAACATAATAATTAATACAGTAGACACATTTAACACTAGGCATGATATATTTTTTTTCATAAAAGTGCGTATGCTTTTAGGATGCTGTGACCAAAAATTGGTGGATAAGTATAGCCAATACGTTTATTGGATATCTTCCAGCAAAATTGTTCTCAAACATGAGTTCAGCTAATGAAGTAGGTTGGGGTGGAAGAACAAGAACTCATCCTGGTACTCAAAGTCCTCAAATGGGATCTGGCCATTTTGCTCGTGATAATAATGCTACGCACGCTTGTTTTTATAAAGAAGTTTCGATTCAAGATAATGAAAGAAAAACTCATGGAGCTAAAGTATATGAAACTCACTCTTTCAGTGACAATCCCAATTGTTACGATGTTAGATACTATGGAGATCAAGACCCCTACTATGGTTACATTCTCCTGTTTGGAGGACCTGGTGGTAATTGTGGCAATTAATTTACTTTTTAATTAAACTTTATGAAATTAAGAAAAACTATCCTCCAATAAACTACTTTTATAATATTCTTTTTTTTTTGCAGTGGAAGATTAATATTATTGTTCTTTTTCATATTTTAATTTAGTTTTGAAATAAGTTGCAAAACTTTTGTTTATATATCTCTCACAAATGGAATTTTATGTATATAACACTAGAATAAAATTCTAATTTATATGTTATGTGTTGTATTTTATTTGGGTTATAGCCATGTAGGTATAGAAATCCCTCCCAAAAATTTGAAAGCCATGAAGAAGTACAATGGGATTGAGTTAGGGTGAATAAGCCTAAACTTTGTCTTCAACAATGAAATATGAGATTGAATTTTGACAATTTTCATTTTGGGGTCGACATTCAAGGTCATTTCTTCAAAACCCTTTTCTTGATTTTTAAGTATGTTACATTGGTCGCTACCTTTCCATCTACCTATGCCACGCTAACCATGGTACATTTACCACACCACTCTTGCCAACATTATCGATGGTGCTATGAAGTGGCTCGATTTATCCAACCTAATTCTTGAAAGGGTTAGTATCAAATTTAATTAGTAATTGTTAAAATAGGAAAACCTCAATTAATAAGAATGAGAAAACCTCGATAAAGTCTCTAGTCAAAGGTGAAAGTGTGGTTAGACAACTAAAAAAGAGTATCTAATGGAAGTAGTGAGAATGAGAAATTTGTTAACGTTGTTGTTTGAATATCAAAATATAGGGATGAGTAATATTATTTGAAATTCCTTAATTGACTTATACTCATTAAAAATTACAAAGGCCAAATCTAAAGTATTAGAAAAGTCTAAAGATTAGACGAGTCAAGGTGTAGAAATCATTAGGTAAATGCATTAGACAACCTAAATGTTTAGACAACCTAATTTATTGTGTTATACGACTAAGGTGTTAGATAAGTACGGTGTTGTCTTTTCGGAATAAAAAATTTTGGTTTTATTTAGGTTTTGAATTGTGAAACTGCACTTTATTTTCTCTAATCAGAGAAACTATGTTGACTCCGCAGTGAGCTTTTCTTTTCCAAGGTGTCTCCTTGAGTCAGATGCAATTCAAAACACCGAATGAGTCAAATTATTTGATCTGGATTTAATGTTTGTGAGTGTCAAATGCTAGATAAAAATTTTGAAGTTTTTAATGTGTTGTCTAGAGTTTTTAGTTTGTACAATTTGTTTGTAGCATCTTTCCTTATCTTGAGTCTTGATTTTTGGTAAATTTTAGTTTTCTAAATGATTTCTTTTGCATATCCAGTAGCTTCTAGGATTAATTTTAGTGCATTGCATTCTTTCTTTTGTATTTGCATTCGTTCTTGTAGTTCTTACTTTGCATTTTCTATTCTTTAGGTTCTACCACATGTATATACCATTTCTTTTATGCATCTTTAGTTTTCTTATTTAGTTTTACTTTTAGTTTTCTTGCTTCATTAAATCATAGCATGTAGGTTAGTTTTAGTTATTGTATGCTTAGTTAGATTTGATCTTTTTCAAACCTTAGGTTTTAGTTTTTAATTTTTTCCTTGCACTCTGTTTTCTTATTCTTTTTAAATAGATTTAAATTGCTTTATTCTTTTCTTTTTAAATTTCATTGTTTCATATTTAATTTCCCCACCTTGCATTAGTAATTAATTAGGTAGTAAATAAAAGCAAGAATTAACCAAACACTTTGAGCTTAATTGTACTAAGTCCGTGGATTGATACCTAGGTTGTCCTTATACTTCATTAGTGGGGAAACTTAGTTTGTTCTGATTTTGTGCAACCAAAATCAAGTTTAACAGAGGTACACTGCATGGCGGAGAGAGAAAAGTGATGCACAAATGGAGAAATGAAAGTGGAGTTGGGTATTTATAAGGCTCATGCTTGCAAGCTAAAAATACAATACACTGAAATGTCTAGGTTTGTTACACTTGTAACAGACAGTTGTGTCTTCTAGTCATCTGCTCTTTAACATTATGTCTTTCCTTTTCCTCCACTTTAAGGATGACAATTACATGATAACGACGTTGGCAAAGACATTTATCAAGTGTGGTGAATTCTTCATCAATAGCCTAAATCTCTTACATTGTCATGTTGATCAATAGAATCCTGAATTCTAGCAAAAATGTTAGTCTTTATAAACATTACATGAAGTCGATTTGATCTCTCCCACTTTTCATGAAGATTAATAGCATCTAAAGTGTTGGTCTTAGTAATAATCGGTGGCTCGAGTTTTCTAATAACATAATCAATGTTCATCCAACCCACATGAAAAAGAACAATCTCCTTCCAAATCTTATAATTATCATTTTTTTAGTTTGGGAACATCACACTTGATATCACATATTTTAAAAATGTATGCTCGTCATCATAATTTTGAAAATTTTCTAATACAAACATGTATTAATCAATAAATTTAGTGATATAAAACTTCTTTATATACCAAAGTGGTATCTAACTAGACTCATATAACCAAATAAAAAAAATTAATGAATGAAACATAAGAATTATATCTAGACCAAAATTGTATTCAAATAAACTCATATAACCAAATAAAAGGTCATTAGATTATGTTTTGTTCTTAATTCCTGCCGACAATTTAAAAATTATAATATAATTTTATTTCATAATTAATCATATAGATTTAAGAAAATTAATGTGAATATATTTTATCACATCATATATAATTAATTATTACATATATAATTAATTACAATTAATGTTTATTACGTGATTATAAAATATTAATAAATAAAATATATTATATTACTATTTCATTTATTAAAATTATATCACCCCTCAAATATTTAAAATTAAATATTTGCATCCAGCCAACAAATACATGAAATCAAACTTGTGTCCTTCTATTTAATAACAAATTCATATCAAAATATTCATCTCACATGTATATAAAACAAAAAATATACACTCTTCATTATTTTAAAAAATAAAACATGTGGTTTTTATTTATTTTTAACTTTAAAATAATCATCACACTCAATGTCCAAAAATAAAGCTTTATGATAAGCAAACGGCAGCACTCCTTATCTCACTTACTTAAACTTTATAATGTAATGTACGATAAAAATAAATAAATTTAATGACGCTAAACACAAAACTTTTGTAGAATTTATAGAATTTTACCTATTAGAGTAATTACTATAATAAATGCTCCCAGATTTTATAAAATTACGATATAAAAATTTATACCCTGAAAATAATTGATGAAATAAACCATATTTGAAAATAACTAATTCAGCATGATCTCATATATTTATGTAACTGCAAACAAATATTTAATGATCATCTGTAATAGATAACTATGCATAGTATATGTCCAAATGAGGTTACGACAAAAACCTAGAAACACGCATCAAGATCTTATTATATATCTTCAGGATCTTATTATATAAAAAAAAATGGTAACGAGATGAGAAAGTTTTCTTAACAAAATTACTAATACATCTTCTAAATGACATTTAATTGTTATTTACTAACTAATAGTTAAACACTGAACTCCTTTTAAGTGTGTTTTCCTGGAATTTAAAGTAAGTTTTTCTTTTTCAAGTAAGCTGCCACAAAATTTACGAAATTACCTATAATAATATTTAGTTCTCCAAACTTTATATTTAAAACGAATGGTGTTTTTTTGGGTAAATTTGGGGGAGATGATTTGGGAGAGATGATTTGAATGGATTTGAGTGGATTTGAGGGTAATTTTTTAGTTGTTTTTTTGAGTGGATTTGTGGGTAATTGAGAGTGGATTTGGAAGTAAAGTTTGTGAGAATTAGTCTAGGATTTGATTGAAGTGATAGATTTTAAAAATTAGTTTAATTGGTAAAAATTAAAGATTACCAAAATGCCTCTAGTTATAAAAGTAATATAAAATATTATATTTAATTGTAAAAATGTTTATAAAGAAAAAAAAATTATGAATAATTTATAAAATTAATGTTTAAAAATTATAAAAATTAAATAATCAACTTATTTTTAATAAATTAGAAAATATAATATACCTAATTTTATTAAGATGTGCATCCTTTTAAATTATAATATTAAAATAATTATAAAAAAAACTGAAAAATATATAGCCCTGTAACCGGTTATGCGTTTCCAACTTAACCTGATATACACATACGGAATTGTTTAATAGCTTCAGGGTACATAAGACATTTTCTCAATAATCCCTCCAAATCTTTTCACTCTCACGGGTGATGAAAAAGCAACCCATCCCGCAAATCCGTCTTCATCAACACCCGTCTTTCCATTCATTCAAACATCAATTGCTTTTCAAACACTCGCTCGCATTCGCCTCTGAATAATACAGTTTGTTCAAACGAACTCAGCGTAAAGTCTATGAAATAGATTAGACAAAATGAACTTAAAATATATACATAAAAAACATTTCTCACTATAAAATTAAATTAAATTCAATCACACACGTCATAAAAAAAAGGTATATTAATTTGACTTGACTGAACATATTTAACTCTGTGTCAGATCTATTATTTGACTTGACGTATATGGTTGAAATCTTCTACAGCCAAGGCTAATAAGCAAATATAATATTTTATTATTATTTTCTATAATGATATTGTTTTTAATGTTCTCATTTCACCGACAGTATCTTTTTAGGGCATCAAATCCTATAATGTATCCAACCAAAGTTACTTTATAACACATGTTGCATGAAAGAACATATCCTTCACGTAAAAGACAAAAGCATATTTTTCATATTTATATGTGGGTGAGATAAAAAGGATTCCCATCGAAGTACTACATATACACACATAGCAGTGCAGTCTCTGTGTGAAAGCACGTTTTGTTAAGAGCCATGGTAAAGGAATTCAACAGCCAAACAGAACTTAGTGTGAGATTGGAAGCCCTTTGGGCAGTGCTATCTAAGGATTTCATAACAGTGGTTCCAAAGGTACTTCCTCATATTGTGAAAGATGTGCAAGTGATTGAAGGTGATGGAGGGGTTGGAACAATCCTCATCTTTAATTTTTTTCCTGGTGAGTTTNGCGTGAGCATGTGTATATGTGTATGTCCATGTGAGTGACTTAATTGCTATTAATTTGAAAAAGAAAAAAATATTATAAGTAATACAATACATTGTCATCAGGTGATTCCAAACTTGTATGGTGATTATGCAAGCCATGTTTATATGTCATGGACGGTAAGAAGTTATCATTTCATTTTTTTTTATACTTAGTTTATAGAAATATAACATATATTTACTCCTATAATAAGTCTTTCTTACTTATCTAAGGATATTTTTTTCTCTTTTTGATTTCGTATTTAAGGATATAATTAAATCCTTACCATTGATCTAAATAAATTTGAATTAATTAATATATAATATTAATATTATTATTCAAAATTTGATATGTTGTTAAACTTTTACAGTCAGACAACTACAAGAAGACCGGATGTTATAATATTCGATGCGCAGGTTTTATTCAAACTAATAGAAAAGTTTACCTTGGTGAAACAATATCTACCATCTCTCATTACGGAGGACCAATTTACACAACTGCTTGGTCGATTTCTCAGGTCATAATCTTGTATATATCTTTCACTGTAATAAATAGATAGAACTAGATTTAATACATGTCGGATTAATATACTTTGATTTCTTGAATACACTTTTTTAACTGAATTCATATAGTGAAAACATAATAATTAATACAGTAGACACATTTAACACTAGGCATGATATATTTTTTTTCATAAAAGTGCGTATGCTTTTAGGATGCTGTGACCAAAAATTGGTGGATAAGTATAGCCAATACGTTTATTGGATATCTTCCAGCAAAATTGTTCTCAAACATGAGTTCAGCTAATGAAGTAGGTTGGGGTGGAAGAACAAGAACTCATCCTGGTACTCAAAGTCCTCAAATGGGATCTGGCCATTTTGCTCGTGATAATAATGCTACGCACGCTTGTTTTTATAAAGAAGTTTCGATTCAAGATAATGAAAGAAAAAATCATGGAGCTAAAGTATATGAAACTCACTCTTTCAGTGACAATCCCAATTGTTACGATGTTAGATACTATGGAGATCAAGACCCCTACTATGGTTACATTCTCCTGTTTGGAGGACCTGGTGGTAATTGTGGCAATTAATTTACTTTTTAATTAAACTTTATGAAATTAAGAAAAACTATCCTCCAATAAACTACTTTTATAATATTCTTTTTTTTTTGCAGTGGAAGATTAATATTATTGTTCTTTTTCATATTTTAATTTAGTTTTGAAATAAGTTGCAAAACTTTTGTTTATATATCTCTCACAAATGGAATTTTATGTATATAACACTAGAATAAAATTCTAATTTATATGTTATGTGTTGTATTTTATTTGGGTTATAGCCATGTAGGTATAGAAATCCCTCCCAAAAATTTGAAAGCCATGAAGAAGTACAATGGGATTGAGTTAGGGTGAATAAGCCTAAACTTTGTCTTCAACAATGAAATATGAGATTGAATTTTGACAATTTTCATTTTGGGGGTCGACATTCAAGGTCATTTCTTCAAAACCCTTTTCTTGATTTTTAAGTATGTTACATTGGTCGCTACCTTTCCATCTACCTATGCCACGCTAACCATGGTACATTTACCACACCACTCTTGCCAACATTATCGATGGTGCTATGAAGTGGCTCGACTTATCCAACCTAATTTTTAAAAGGGTTAGTATCAAATTTAATTAGTAATTGTTAAAATAGGAAAACATCAATTAATAAGAATGAGAAAATCTCGATAAAGTCTCTAGTCAAAGGTGAAAGTGTGGTTAGACAACTAAAAAAGAGTATCTAGTGGAAGTAGTGAGAATGAGAAATTTGTTAACGTTGTTGTTTGAACATCAAAATATACGATGAGTAATATTATTTGAAATTCCTTAATTGACTTATACTCATTAAAAAGTACAAAGGCCAAATCTAAAGTATTAGAAAAGTCTAAAGATTAGACGAGTCAAGGTGTTAAATAATTCTAATTATAGAAATCATTAGATAAATGCATTAGACAATCTAAATGTATAGACAATCTAATTTATTGTGTTATACGACTAAGGTGTTAGATAAGTACGGTGTTGTCTTTTTGGAATAAAAATTTTTGGTTTTATTTAGGTTTTGAATTGTGAAACTGCATTTTATTTTCTCTAATAAGAGAAACTGTATTGACTCCATAGTTAGCTTTTCTTTTCCAAGGTGTCTCCTTGAGTCAGATGCAATTCAAAACACCGAATGAGTCAAATTATTTGATCTGGATTTAATGTTTGTGACTATCAATGCTAGATAAAAATTTTGAAGTTTTTAATGTGTTGTCTAGAGTTTTTAGTTTGTACAATTTGTTTGTAGCATCTTTCCTTATCTTGAGTCTTGATTTTTGGTAAATTTTAGTTTTCTAAATGATTTCTTTTGCATATCCAGTAGATTCTAGGATTAATTTTAGTGCATTGCATTCTTTCTTTTGTATTTGCATTCGTTCTTGTAGTTCTTACTTTGCATTTTCTATTCTTTAGGTTCTACCACATGTATATACCATTTCTTTTATGCATCTTTAGTTTTCTTATTTAGTTTTACTTTTAGTTTTCTTGCTTCATTAAATCATAGCATGTAGGTTAGTTTTAGTTATTGTATGCTTAGTTAGATTTGATCTTTTTCAAACCTTAGGTTTTAGTTTTTAATTTTTTCCTTGCACTCTGTTTTCTTATTCTTTTTAAATAGATTTAAATTGCTTTATTCTTTTCTTTTTAAATTTCATTGTTTCATATTTAATTTCCCCACCTTGCATTAGTAATTAATTAGGTAGTAAATAAAAGCAAGAATTAACCAAACACTTTGAGCTTAATTGTACTAAGTCCGTGGATTGATACCTAGGTTGTCCTTATACTTCATTAGTGGGGAAACTTAGTTTGTTCTGATTTTGTGCAACCAAAATCAAGTTTAACAGAGGTACACTGCATGGCGGAGAGAGAAAAGTGATGCACAAATGGAGAAATGAAAGTGGAGTTGGGTATTTATAAGGCTCATGCTTGCAAGCTAAAAATACAATACACTGAAATGTCTAGGTTTGTTACACTTGTAACAGACAGTTGTGTCTTCTAGTCATCTGCTCTTTAACATTATGTCTTTCCTTTTCCTCCACTTTAAGGATGACAATTACATGATAACGACGTTGGCAAAGACATTTATCAAGTGTGGTGAATTCTTCATCAATAGCCTAAATCTCTTACATTGTCATGTTGATCAATAGAATCCTGAATTCTAGCAAAAATGTTAGTCTTTATAAACATTACATGAAGTCGATTTGATCTCTCCCACTTTTCATGAAGATTAATAGCATCTAAAGTGTTGGTCTTAGTAATAATCGGTGGCTCGAGTTTTCTAATAACATAATCAATGTTCATCCAACCCACATGAAAAAGAACAATCTCCTTCCAAATCTTATAATTATCATTTTTTTAGTTTGGGAACATCACACTTGATATCACATATTTTAAAAATGTATGCTCGTCATCATAATTTTGAAAATTTTCTAATACAAACATGTATTAATCAATAAATTTAGTGATATAAAACTTCTTTATATACCAAAGTGGTATCTAACTAGACTCATATAACCAAATAAAAAAAATTAATGAATGAAACATAAGAATTATATCTAGACCAAAATTGTATTCAAATAAACTCATATAACCAAATAAAAGGTCATTAGATTATGTTTTGTTCTTAATTCCTGCCGACAATTTAAAAATTATAATATAATTTTATTTCATAATTAATCATATAGATTTAAGAAAATTAATGTGAATATATTTTATCACATCATATATAATTAATTATTACATATATAATTAATTACAATTAATGTTTATTACGTGATTATAAAATATTAATAAATAAAATATATTATATTACTATTTCATTTATTAAAATTATATCACCCCTCAAATATTTAAAATTAAATATTTGCATCCAGCCAACAAATACATGAAATCAAACTTGTGTCCTTCTATTTAATAACAAATTCATATCAAAATATTCATCTCACATGTATATAAAACAAAAAATATACACTCTTCATTATTTTAAAAAATAAAACATGTGGTTTTTATTTATTTTTAACTTTAAAATAATCATCACACTCAATGTCCAAAAATAAAGCTTTATGATAAGCAAACGGCAGCACTCCTTATCTCACTTACTTAAACTTTATAATGTAATGTACGATAAAAATAAATAAATTTAATGACGCTAAACACAAAACTTTTGTAGAATTTATAGAATTTTACCTATTAGAGTAATTACTATAATAAATGCTCCCAGATTTTATAAAATTACGATATAAAAATTTATACCCTGAAAATAATTGATGAAATAAACCATATTTGAAAATAACTAATTCAGCATGATCTCATATATTTATGTAACTGCAAACAAATATTTAATGATCATCTGTAATAGATAACTATGCATAGTATATGTCCAAATGAGGTTACGACAAAAACCTAGAAACACGCATCAAGATCTTATTATATATCTTCAGGATCTTATTATATAAAAAAAAATGGTAACGAGATGAGAAAGTTTTCTTAACAAAATTACTAATACATCTTCTAAATGACATTTAATTGTTATTTACTAACTAATAGTTAAACACTGAACTCCTTTTAAGTGTGTTTTCCTGGAATTTAAAGTAAGTTTTTCTTTTTCAAGTAAGCTGCCACAAAATTTACGAAATTACCTATAATAATATTTAGTTCTACAAACTTTATATTTAAAACGAATCTTTAAGGCGGTGTTCTTTTGGGTAAATTTGGGGGAGATGATTTGGGAGAGATGATTTGAATGGATTTGAGTGGATTTGAGGGTAATTTTTTAGTTGTTTTTTTGAGTGGATTTGTGGGTAATTGAGAGTGGATTTGGAAGTAAAGTTTGTGAGAATTAGTGTAGGATTTGATTGAAGTGATAGATTTTAAAAATTAGTTTAATTGGTAAAAATTGAAGATTACCAAAATGCCCCTAGTTATAAAAGTAATATAAAATATTATATTTAATTGTAAAAATGTTTATAAAGAAAAAAAAATTATGAATAATTCATAAAATTAATGTTTAAAAATTATAAAAATTAAATAATCAACTTATTTTTAATAAATTAGAAAATATAATATACCTAATTTTATTAAGATGTGCATCCTTTTAAATTATAATATTAAAATAATTATAAAAAAAACTGAAAAATATATAGTCCTATAACCGGTTACGCGTTTCCAACTTAACCTGATATACACATACGAAATTGTTTAATAGCTTCAGGGTACATAAGACATTTTCCCAATAATCCCTCCAAATCTCTTCACTCTCACGGATGATGAAAAAGCAATCCATCCCGCAAATCCGTCTTCACCAACACCCATCTTTCCACTCATTCAAACACCAATTGCTTTTCAAACATTCGCTCGCATTCGCCTATGACAATTTGTTCAAACGAACTCAGCGTAAAGTCTATGAAATAGATTAGACAAAATGAACTTAAAATATATACATAAAAAACATTTCTCACTATAAAATTAAATTAAATTCAATCACACACGTCATAAAAAAAAGGTATATTAATTTGACTTGACTGAACATATTTAACTCTGTGTCAGATCTATTATTTGACTTGACGTATATGGTTGAAATCTTCTACAGCCAAGGCTAATAAGCAAATATAATATTTTATTATTATTTTCTATAATGATATTGTTTTTAATGTTCTCATTTCACCGACAGTATCTTTTTAGGGCATCAAATCCTATAATGTATCCAACCAAAGTTACTTTATAACACATGTTGCATGAAAGAACATATCCTTCACGTAAAAGACAAAAGCATATTTTTCATATTTATATGTGGGTGAGATAAAAAGGATTCCCATCGAAGTACTACATATACACACATAGCAGTGCAGTCTCTGTGTGAAAGCACGTTTTGTTAAGAGCCATGGTAAAGGAATTCAACAGCCAAACAGAACTTAGTGTGAGATTGGAAGCCCTTTGGGCAGTGCTATCTAAGGATTTCATAACAGTGGTTCCAAAGGTACTTCCTCATATTGTGAAAGATGTGCAAGTGATTGAAG